CTGTTTTCTATCTGAAGAATTCATGATGTTAAAATAAATTCTGTTTTACACAGAAGTAAAGTAATTCTATTTTCTGATAGTATAAGAAAACTGAGGCACAGAGAAGTTAAAACTAAAAAGTCTGGGCCAAAGACAGCTGCTGAAATGAAATCCCTTGACTCTTAGTCCTCCACCTGGATAAATCATGCAATTAAATTTGCATCTATTTTCTCAGTTCTCAAGTTTATCAAAGATGTAGCACGCTGCCACCTGAAAGAACTGCATTCATACAGCTGGGATTTCACTTCACCTGGGCAACAATGACATTCACAGAAGAGGTGTTCCATCTGCTGCAATAAGAATGCCATCTGTCCTTTCTTCATTTGCACTCCATACAGCAAAACAAGTTGAAAAGATACAAAGGTGTCCTTAAACAGTCCTTATCCCCATATCTGATTGGTGATGATTTTCCAAGAGTGGAATAGTGGAGACACTGAGAGTCAGTAAAACAGGAGAAATATTATCTCTTGGACTCTTCCCAATAGAGGTTCTGGCAAGCTTAAAAATCCACTGCCCATTCCAATCCATCTCAATCTTTGTCTAAAAGGATTAAGTACCCATAAAAGACAGGAGAGATAATGGGTAAGAATTATTAAACTTTTCCAGTATTAACCATATCCTAGTGAAAGATTTTTTCCTAGAACTACCTTTGCAGTTGTTACTGCCCAGGTCATTTATCATCACATAACACTCTTTAACTAAAATTAAGTATTGTGTGTTAGCTAATTGTTTTCATAAAGAGTGAAAGTTTTGCTATTTATTTTTTCCAATGTGTTGATTTTCTCCTGTTGCTAGTTCTTCTCCCTCTTCTATCCTCTATCAAATATATACATATCTTATTTTTTTCTTTCTCCTGCCCACTAATTCTTTCCACTAAGTTTTTGTTTCTTCTGGAAATGTTACTCCTCAGTGTTCTCCTAACTTTGTGGATTTTCCCATCTTTTGATCCTACTGTTCCTGAAAGATACTGATATACATCCTTAAATTTAGGAATAAAAAATATTCTGCAAGTGGATTTGCTTAAAATAACCACATTTTCCTAAATTACTCCTGTTTGGAGAAAGACCAGGTGGCCTGGCATAGAGCTAACTGGAGTCACTGACCACTTCCCAGTTAACAAAAACAAGAACACTTCATGCCAAACGCATGTACAGCTTATGTTCCTTTTTGTCTCATGTGGAACATACTGTTTTATTGGCCCTGTAAATTACATTAGCTCCAGAACACATCAGACATCTAGCTGTGGAATGGTATATTAGCTGCTGACTTCCTCCAGCTGATACAAGGTACATCCTACCTCATATCTGTATGTCAGGTGTAGAAGTAAATGCAGAAAGGAAGACAGACAGTTTCTTGCCTAGCTGAAGAAGGCTGAATTACCAGGCAGAGACTATTTCTGTATTTATAATGTCAGACAAATTATGTCAGGCCTTGTGACTCTCTACCTATTGGAAAACATTTTATGTTCTCTCTGATAATTCCCCAAATTGTCTCATAGCAAAGAAAACAGTTTTAACACCTTTCTGTTATTCTTGTAAGTAGCCATCTGTATGTGAGTCCATTCTACAGTAACAGAATTCTGCTCAATGAGTTATCTTCCAATCCTTAAATACAGGCATGTATATTTATATATATATCTCTTTTTCTAAATAAAAAGAATACATGGCCTAGAAAAACACATTTTTCCAAGGGTAATTACTCAGACATACTTTCACAGACAACACGCTTGCTCAGCTTCTACACCTTATAGACTGTACATACCTGACAGGCTGAGGATCACACATTTTTTTTCCCCCAAAAAAACTGTTAAAGGACATTGTATGAAAATCTGGTCTGTAGAAAGCCATGCAAGACTAACTTAATCTAGTTAAGGACTTCTATCCTGAGCAAGTCTTGGAGGCTTTTAATAGCACAAACATTGACAGAGGAAATGGTCAAAATTTGGTATAACTTTATAGCTGAAGAAATTCAGCTTTGGAAGAGAATTTCATCTGGAAAGTTATTACTTGAGCAAACTATAAAGAGACTGCTAGATACATCATGCTTTCTGAGAGATTTGAATATAAGATCAGAAGATAAAGATTAAATTCTGCTTGCTTCACAGATGTAAACAGTTCCTCTACATTCATTTTTAATTTCTTATAAATAGAGGAGAGGGAAGGGGAAAAAACAGGGCAAAAGTTGGCCTACATGCATACAGAGCATGATCACTGCAAATATATTAGGATTACACTAAATGTTGAGAATTAATGAACAGCAAAATATTCATTCAAAACAGACATAAATATTTGGTTTCTAATAAAGTAATTCTCCTCAATTATATTTAAAAGGGAACTGCAATGAAGGCACTGATACACAGAATTTACCAAATAACTAATTTTACCATTATTTAAATGCCCTCTTTTTATATTACGAATTATTCTTTTCTGCTTTTTGGAGACAAAACTCCAGAACCATTCCCTGAAACAAGTCTTGACGTTAATTTGATTTGGAAAACCTGATTCTTACCTGCCACCAGTACCTAAACTGGGAGAGGTAAGTGCAGAAACACGTATCAGGTATAGCTCAAGAGAAGCCTCACTGAAAAGCAACTACCACTCAGAGAATTGTAGCCTTTCTTGTAAATATAGGCAACTTCCAGTAAGCTGGGACTGTAACATGATTTGGAAGCTGCTCTTTGTCTGGCAGAGGCTCCTGCTCACTTCAGAGCTGCTGTGAATCCTCTGCTTTCAATCAAAGGCGAGGTTTTGAGGAGAGACACTGCTGCAGCTAGCGCTCGGCTTTTGCCGAGTTCTCAGTTCAGCAGGGGTTGGATAATCCTTCCGCTCCAGGAGGCAACTTGATTTCTCCTTGTATAGTATAACCTCACATTTCCTCATCATCACCAACCTGGTTTTATAGTTGTGACAGCTCCCATCAGTGGCTCCTGACCTAAGATGATAAATTCAGAGGCTGGCAGGGACAAAGATGGCACGACGGCAGTGGCAGTATGGTGTACTGTGACATACCCTCTGGTTTGGGCAATGGATTGTGATTCATGTGGAATTCTTAATAAACAACGTTTTATGTTTTGGCACCACCAAGAGCTAGCGTTGCTTACAGCTACAGTAAGTCTCTAAATAGAAATTATTGTTCTAATAAACTGCTCCCTATATAACCCTTGTTTTTATTCCCTGATTTTTAGAAAGTGTCTAACTGCAAACACTGGAAAAAAAGTCCTCATTTCCTCTCAGGGCCACATGCATAGCTTTATTTTTAAGAGCTTTTTTCCCCTTAGAACGTTAATTTATCCTCCAGTGAATTTTTTCTGCTTACGTAGCTAAACTTCCAGTCTACTTAGTAAAAGCCTTTGAGTTTTGGGAGATAGAACCTAAAAGCCAGGCAAGGGTTTACATGTAACATCAGTTGTAGTTTACACCTGGAAGTCTCAGATTCATATCTAAATTCTATATACAGTAGCCACCAAACCCTGAGGCAGTTTCCCTGTTTAAAGTGAAGTTCCAGTCAAACTTAAGTTGTGTACACTCACTCAGCAAAGCTTTAAGCATTCATTTAATTCTTTTTTTAAGCACCAGTTATGTAACAGAATTCCTCAGATAAGATACTTTCCGATGAATTTAAACAGTATGGCTTTTTAATTGATAATTTCTATCTACTGAAATTTTAATTTTAAAATTATAATTTTCATCAATTGGAAGAGTAAACTTTAAGATTAATGTTCAGATTAGAAAACTATTGAAATTATAGAAATAATAGAATCTGGAAATAAAAGTAGCAAAGCAGCATAAATTTTCTTAGTGTATAAAAGACTTAGAAAACTATAAATATACTTAATGAATATAAAGAAAGCACGTAGAAGGTACATTCTGGCAAGTCAAAGACAAATTCCCAGCTTGGTTTCCTCTATTTAGACTGAAGCATAGAAAAGAGAGATGCCTGGCTGATATTATCAACCCAGCTTCTGTTTATCTCACTGGAGATAAGTGGACATCACCAGAGCAGAACTCTCCCTAAACTAAGCACCTATGAGCTGGCAGACTTCTCGCCCCTGGAGATTTCATTTTTTCTCCTGCTACACAAGGAGTGTAGAATGACGAGTTCAATTTGACATCTGAAGTTAGGTGTCATTTATCACATTTTAAACTTTGTATCTTACCAAATCAATTTAAAAATTTTACCTAAGGGCAAACAATATTTTAATAAAATACCAGAAAAGCAAACTTTTTCATTGTTCCTTGCATCACCCCCAGGTATTTTTGTTGTTGTTGTTGTTTTGTTGTTGATTTTTTTAAATTCACCACCTGAAAGCAATGTCAAAGTGTACATTTAAACCAATGAGCCTGAGGTCAAAGACACATTAATAGATAATCTTAGAATACGAGGGACGATGGATGGTGCCTTTACTTGCTCATTTCTCTCCTCCTACACCAGGGTGTGCAAGGAGAGTGGGGAAGTCATCAAATTTCACAAGATTTGTACCTCCTAACACCAGAAAAACTTTCCACAAACCCTGTGTGCTGTGAAAGTAGTGCACTGTGAGCCTCAATTTGAACAGAAGAGGATGGAGGGAATTTGTGATGCAAGATTCTGAAATGCAAATTCAAGCTTGCAGGCTATGCTACTGCTGAGCAGGTAGCCTGAACTTGTGTAAAACCTAAGAAAATTAACAGATGTAGCAAGATTACCTGCCCCCCCAATACACCGACAGGACTATTTACACATGTATTATGTTAACATGTGGCATTTCACTTGTTATCTATGTAAAGCATTTTCTATATTTTGGCTTAGTATTCTCACTATTACAATTTGCAAATTTTTAGAAGTGCAAAAAACCAGCTCTAGAAAACAAGAGATGACAGTCATATCTTTTAAAGTTTTCTCATAGAACCCAAAGAATAAATTCTCATAGGAAAACTAACTGAAGAAAATTAAGATTAGGAAAAGTAGAAAAGACATTGCTTTTAAATATGATCTTCAAGGAAAATAGAATAAAATAAATCTGGAAAATATTACATAGGGAATCAGGTAAATTCATCTATCTACTTTGCCTATTTGAATACTTAACTACTGAAAAAAAATCCCTACCTTCAGGTAATTTTGCCATCATTTCAAAAATCTGATGCGTGTTCTTCCGACAGATATCTACTGGATCATCCAAGAGCTCAGTGAGGGCAGAAATGACTCCATTTTGTATCAGCCCTTGCCTACAAACAACATTGGAGGATGGATTTAACGAAGCATAATAAATCTCATATATATTTGCGAGATGCCTAATCTTCGCTAAATACACTTGTTTACATTGCGCCTGTCTTGCCAAAATGTAGAAATTCTGTTCTTATTTCCCACTGAAACAACTTTATTGCTTCACATACCATTCAGCAAACTCTGGAGTTACACCCACCTGCCAACATTATGCATAGCCATTATATAGAGGATTTCTGTTGTTTTTTGTCGGACAGTTCTGTCATCGTGTAGCAGCAAGGTCTTCAAGTTATCCAAGAATCCTATGAGATGCAATAGTTCACTTTAACATTTCTTACCTTCAGTACTAATTTAAAATAGCAATATTCATTTTTATCTCACAATTTGAAATGCAAACAATCAGAATTTTCATCTTGTCTTGATGGTGATGTGGTGAAATTCGCACTGTCATACCTAAAGTAGGGAAGAAACTTTCAAGTTTCGAGGCCTATTGCCAAAAATGCCATGCTACAGACAAGCTGCTGGCTTCTGCATCAAGTTGAATCCTAATCCTGCAAATATTTATGAAGTGACATAACTCTAAAAATACCCAAGTCAATGGAGCTATTGATGTTTTTAGAAAAGCATGTGTTTGCAGGATTGATGTCTACATTTTTTTAAACTCTCTTTAGGTGTAGCATGGGCTGTGTAAAAACTCAGTGTTGCTTTTCACACCATAATGGTGAACCATAAACGACCATGTGTATATACATTTTTATATATATATATATATACATATAAATTTTGAACATGATTATTGGCATGTCTTCTGAAGAAAAAAATATGAAGTAAGCAAATGGAGAAAAAAATCAGTGGCAAACTGGAGTTACATAAGGAGCTATGTAAATACACAACAGACTGCTAAAAATTGTGAAGATAAGCTTGTGCGTTTTGTTTGTTTTGTTTTTTTTAACTCAATCCAAACTTAGGATTCTTCCAAGTGCTGGGTTAAAACCTTTTGAAAATAGTGGTGGACAGATATCATCCTGATAAGCATGATAAATTTGATTATATTGTCTTGTACCTTAATTTCCCATGAAGTTCCAGTGGTTTTTTTGTTACTGACTCATTCTACAGTCACTAAGGTACTTCTGAGAAGGAGTTCTGCCTACAAGCTCTGATGTTTTGTCTCTCCGGTATTTATAACTGGATGTGCCATGTTATCCACTGCTGAAGGCATCAATGGCAAAAGATGACTTCCTGGATTTTGCAAATGAACTTGTAAACCTTATTCAAATATAATTTTATTCATTATTAGTTAAAAGGTTCATTGGATTTTTTTTTTTTTGCCTATTATTATTACGGGATCTGAGATATGAGTATTTTGAGTACCTCAAGCATGAAAAATCCAGGAAGATACCACTGTCATATGTCATATGTGCTACCAAATGTCTAATGAAGGAAAAAAAAGGGAATTTTGCCTTTTTTCCTCCTTTAGGATGACTAAAAGCTTTTTCTTTTCCCCTTTCTAAATAAAATATATTTAGTAGTTTCATGTTATTAGAAACTCATAAACCCACTGCTTTGTTTTTTTCTGAAAGGTTCATTTGTAACAGGATTAGAAAAGATTCTAGACAAATTGAACTAAGTGGGAAGGGAGTAGTGGTGAGTGTTTTTCCAACTCTGGACTAATTTATTTTTTTTTTCCCTATGTTAGGAATTAGTTAAAATTCAGAATAAATGAAAGAAAAAAAGATTCTGCACTACTTTTGTATTTAGGGGTTGATAAAACCTATAGTGAGCCACTGATAAATCCTAAAGTGACGACACTATTAAAATAACTGTCATGTATATGGCATTATAATATTCTTTACCTGTTTAAGGTAAAAGAAGTAGACATTAAAACCAAAATATCTTTCTGGCTATTTTGTGGCATCAAAGATATTGCAAGGAAAAAAGTGGTGCACAAACGTAAAGTGTTTTTTTTTTTTTCTCCCCACTGTGTCAAAGCTTATGACAACAGATCACTTACCTACATCTATGGCCTGGTAGAGATTTTCTGGGTCATGGATCAGATCGCAGAGCGCCATCAGTGCCCGCTGCTGAGTCAGCAGTTCAGGAGACTGTAACTCCTCATTCAGCTTAGGAAGGGCCCTTTTCCCAAATGCAACAGGAGCTTTTGTGGGATCTATATCAGGGGGGAGCTTGTCTGATATACGAGCGTGTGCCATCCCAAATTTTCCTGGGATTCCCTTTTAAAAGTACTCCAAAATGATTGTACCTGCTGACTGGGCTGATAAGGCACCAAAAAGACAACTACTGACTTTAAACAGTGCTCTGTGTCCCAGAAGAGCTATTTTAGCACACATTCATTGTGAGGAAGCTATGAAAGAAGAGGCTGGAATGGTTCATGGTCATCACCAGTAATGTCTGTTCATCAGCTGAATTATCTTATTTGGTTTAATTCTCTACTGAATACTGGGGAAAAAAAAAAAAAAGAGAGAGAGAGAGAGTAAGCTTAAAATTGCAAGGTGAGGGAGAGAATGTTTTTCAAAGGGTTAAAGTGAAGTAGTCCAATGTCCCAAACCAAAGAAGGGGGTCAAAGTAATATTAATATTAAAAGTAATATAAAAGCAAAAAACCCGGCATTTTTCGAAAAAGCATTATCTTAAAAGGGGTCTAGTTTAAACCCACCCTCAGAATCCGTTAACGTTTGAAGGAATCGGTGATGGCTGACCTCCCCCTTCCCTCAGTACGGAAAACGCCTCAGCTGACAGCAGCATGCAACCTCCAATATTGAAAACTGATCAACCAAAAAAACCAGCTGCAAAGTTAAAGCAACTGCTAAACAACTGCACTTCTCTCTTCAGAACAAAAGAAACAGACTCGATAACCAAAGGCGCCCTGTCCCACCAATATGTCGCCGCCTCAGCCCGTCCCCAGTTCCCGCTCCTGCCAGCTCCGCCACCGCCTTTCGCGCGCGCGTGCTCTGGGTACCACAGCAACCAGCTCTTTGCGTACGTCCCGCTCCGTGAATAGAAACTACGCAGCCAAGCACGCTGAGTGTGGCCCTGCGTCAACAGCGCAAGTACCGCGTTTGACGGTGGCTATTGTGAGAGAGTAACGTCAACGGCGTAGTTGGTGAATTGGAAGCTGAGGGCGCTGCTAGCGCGGGCGGGCCGCGGGCGGGAGCGCTGAGGCGCAGCGCGGCCCCTCAGGGAGGGCAGCGTGTGAGGGAAGGGGGATGGCGCCCTGGGGCTGCAGTGTGGAGGCTGTCTTACGTCGCTTCTCTGCTAAGCATGGAGGGAGGCTCTCTCCTCAAGCCCGGTTTGCAGAGTAATTACAGTTGAACAACATTGAAAAAAAATTCAGATTGAACAAAATGGTGGTCGAGTTGATGGCAGAGATACAGCAGGCAAGTGCCTTGAGGTGTAAGGGTTGAAGGGAGCTCAGTAGCTTTGGACTGGGTTTTCTTTCCTAGTCTTCTCCAGAATGTCACTACAAACAGAATATTTACCAGGAGTTTCCGTTATCATTAGGTGGTTTTGCATAACTCTATTCAAGACTCGGCCATCTTTTTTAGTATGATTCTGCTAAAAAGTCTGGTGTTGTTCAGAGGATGGTACGTAGGGAGAATGTATCATTGCAATGGTGCTAGCACAGCTTGAGGGTGCTTGGGACTGTCTGATGTGATCTGGCATCAGGAAAAAAACTGAACAGCTTGTGCTATGGAAGGTTAGTTCTCTGTGCAAATAGAGAAGTTGCTGAGATGTTTTTCATTATGTTTGAGTAACAATTATAATAATCAGAGTTTTTAAACTGGATTTTACAAAGCCAAAGTCATTCAGATCAGCCGGATTAAAATAAAACACTGGAATAGCCTCTGGTTTGTTGATCTTCAAAATCCATAAAGGAAAAAATTACTACTTTAAAAAGTATTTTCCAGAAAGAATTCATTTTTCTGCAACATTTTAGAGCAGATTATTTAAAGTAGATGTTATTTTCCTGAATTAGATTAGACTTCCACTAACTATGTATTTCAGTAGGAGGAATGTGAACTTTTCTCAGTGTAGAAGGAGCAGGAGAAGATCAGAGACTTGTATTGTCCTTCAGTGTTAACTCTGCTCTCACCCTTTAGGTGTGAGTTGTTCTTGGCCTTCACCACAGCTTGGAATACTGATTTTGGTTAGTGGTCATGGCATTAACTTATTTTATGTACAGCTTCTGAATACCTTCCTCAAATCCTTTGTCTGTAGAATCTACTGATGATACTGTTCCTGCAACATTGATGTAAGGAGGGTTGTGATGCCATGGAGACACTGTATTCCTACTCCTCCCTGGTGACTGAATGCCCTTCAGCTCTGTAAGAAGAGAAAATCGGGATCTCGGTACTAATCATTCTCAGTATTTTTAGCAGCTTTGTATTTCTTAAGTCATTGATCTTTTTCCTCTAATGATGTGGCTAATTTGTTGATTGGGTAAATAGGAATATGTTTATGTGTGTGAGAGATTTAGATTAAATACACTAAAGATAAGTGAAGATGGCCTCTCAGTTTTAAAATGTTTCTGTCTGGTTGCCTTGTTCCCTCATGTACTTTGGATTCACTGAGATTGTTGAAATGACTTTTTTAGTTTGTGAAAGAGCTCTAGGAGACAGCCTATGTACACATGACTTTACATGCTTAAGGTGTGTTGAACTGGAACTGGGAGGATATGGAGCAAGCAAGTTAGTGTTTGAAACTCTTACTAAATGGCAGGGTTTTCCATTTTGTTTTTATAACTATGATTTTAAGACATTAACATTGCTGTAAAATCATTCAAACTTGCCAAAAGGGAAAAAAAAAAGGTTTAGATCTCCCTAACTTTGTATGATCACAAGTAGCATGATAAATAGAACTATGCATATGGTAATAAATATATACGGTAATGTCACCTTCTTTGGTGAATAACACATCAGCTGCAAATCTGAATTCTTTGGGGGGAAGTGGTTTTTTTCTTTATGGTTGAGATCACAAGAGTGTCTGAAGTTATTTAAAAGCAATTCCTCATAAAAGAGAATAAAACATTAATTCTAAGTAGTGGACTAGCAGTTTTGTTCAACATTGTTCTTAGTGTGGGGTTTTAAAACAAACAAAAAAAGTACTTTTTTATTATATACTTACTTGTTTAAAATTACTTGTCCACATGGATTTGCCCATTAACATTTTCAGTCTACTGCAGGAATGGGAGAGGCATTTCTTCTGGATATTGAGAGGTCCAAGCCTGTTTCAGCATTATCAAAACATGACTATTAGAATGTGAGAGCTTTCTCTTGTCCTGAAATTTGGAAATTCTAATGAAATAAATAGCAAAATCTTTTAGCATCCTAAATTACAGTCTAACATACTAAATGTCTGAACTAATGAGTTGATTAACAATACTTAGGCAATACAAAAGAGCTGTGTGATTTCTTATTCCTTGTCTTCAGTATTTGTTACATTAGAAAGCAAGATTACTAATGACTAGAAAGACATTTATGTAATTCAGAATGTCTCATTGGTGGCATTGCACATCTAGACTCTAAAGCTGAGATGAAATGAAGTTGAAATTCTGAAAAAATCCCTCGGGAGTATCTTCATAATTGCAACTATGCTTAATATTAGCACTGTAAATGTTCCCCACTCCACTAGTTCCTTGTCTGCTGGGTTAACCCTGCTCTTTGTATCCATATATACGACTAACTTTGGAGAAAATGGACCTGTTTTCTTATACAGGATTGGGCAACCATTTGGTTTATTAAGGAGCAATTTCTAATCAAAGGATTCTGCATGGCCACTAAACCAGTTTGTTTTTTTAAAACCAGGGCCCTATGTACAGCTAAATTACTCCAACTCCGCCTTCCCAGTCTGTAAGAGAAAGGGAGGAAGGGAACTGTTACAAGCCTGTTGCTATGGCCACGCAGCAGCAGGCTGAGCTGTTTCTGTGGCTGGGATCCTGCTGCATCAGCTGCTGCACGGTGAGTCCTTCCTTACGCTTTGCTACAGGATGAATGTTCTTATTAGAAACATTCTTTTGAATGCCAGTAAGAAATTGGTACCCTATTAAGGGTCCCCTCCCCCAACAACCCACGAGGTTTCATTGCATAACCAAATTAATGTCTCAGGTGGGATATCTGAATGCGTTTGTGATTTTTCATGTGAATATTATTCTTTTTCCAAGTCAGACTATCTACTGATTTCATTCTTTCTGAGCTGATCTTGGATGAAAGTTTAATAATGTGCCAATAAATGTTGCAGCTTCCTTTTTCCTCCTTTCTTCTTCTGACCGAAGGGAAGCTGGTATCCCCTAGCATTGATTAATGTGCTTAGTGCAGAGGCATTTCAAACAATGATGAGCAAGATTTTTAAATTAAACACTGCAAAATCCTTTGAGGGTTAAACTGCAAGCACTTATGTTGAAATAAGTGAACAATTCTCTGCCCTCCCACAGAAACAGAGTTGGTGCCTTGTAGTTTCAGAAAGCCACTGTTTGCTACTACAGCTACATGCACTGAAGTGGTCCTTTTAACATAAGAAACACATTTTTCTTTATCACAAATAAAGTCAAAGAACTGCCAGTTGTACCGAAAGGAAAAAAAACATTATGAGTCTGCAAGAACTGTTAATTTTTTGAGGTCATATTTTCACTGTATTGAGGCAATTCTTGAATGCTATGTTTCTCTTTACATATTTCCTGTCTGGTAGAACTTAATTGAATTTGGAGGATGAAGTCCAACCTAATGCATTTGGTTCCCCCAGTGAGCAGGGACAGAATAATCTCCCAGTTTCCCAAGGTAAGCATTCTTTATCCCTCTGGTCACAGTATGTAGCACCTGCCACATTGAGCTATCTTTCCCTTGTGCTAATAATATTTTAATTTAATGTACAGTTGTTGTTTTCTGCTAGAATTACTCATTGTTCAAGGATTTCTTTCAAAGATGAATGTGACCTCATGTTCCCATTCAATGCTGATATCTTTAATAACAATCCTCATTTCTTCTTTTAACCTTTACAGAAAGTGACTTGCCACAAAAGAGTTATGATAGCTATCTTGTTATTTCAGCCAAACATTAATAATTGCATGCTTAAAGAGTTCCTACACTGAGGGGAAATAAGAACCATAGCTTACATTAAATATGCAGAAAGTCTAATTAGATCTATATGGAGGTTTGGTTGAAGAATTTGAGGCAATTTTAATTTTCTGCTTGTATAGG